AGCAGCAGAGTTCTCTGAAATATAAAAGAAAGATGACATTGCCTTTACTTTTGCAAAGGCTGAAGTCTTTCCAGGGTCTGAGGATGATGGCTTCCAGCTTCATCCATGTCCCTGCAAAGGACATGATCTCATTCTTTTTTCATGGCTGCATAGTATTCCATGGTGTATATGTACCACATTTTCTTTCTCCAGTCTATTGTTGATGGGCATTTGGGTTGGTTCCATGACTTTGCTATGGTAAATAGTTCTGCAGTAAACATACATGTGCATGTGTCTTTATAGTAGAATGATTTATATTTCTTTGGGTATATACCAAGTAATGGGATTGCTGGGTCAAATGGGATTTCTGGTTCTAGATCCTTAAGGAATCACCATACTGTCTTCCACAATGGTTGAACTAATTTACACTCCCACCAACAGCATAAAAGCATTCCTATTTCTCCACAGTCATCCTCAGCAAACTAACACAGGAACAGAAAGCCAAACACCATATGTTCTTACTCATAAGAGGGAGTTGAACAATGAGAACACATAGACACAGAGAAGGGAACAACACACACCAGGACCTGTTGCGGGTGGGAGGCAAGGGGAGGGAACGTATTTGATGGGTCAATAGGTGCAGCAAACCACCATAGCACACATACAACTATGTAACAAACCTGCATGTTCTGTATGTGTATCCCAAAACTTACAGTAAAATTTTTTTAAAAGGAAAAAAAAAAAAAAAAAAAGTCTTTCCAGGATCTAAAAGACCACTAGGACGAGAACGAGGGGACCACGTTTGCCACTCATTAGCTGTGCAGCTTGAGAAACCTGCCCGATCTCTCTCTGGGTTTCCATTTCTGAGAAGGGAGCATGAGCAAGCTGGGCCACTCACAGGCCAAACTGATCTATTACTGAGCAGTGATTCCCACCAAGCCCAACTCTGCAGCAAACTCTGGAGGGAGAGGAAATGGGAATAAGAGCCTGTTGTCCCAAATTCTAAGAGCAGAGCTGATGTCCCTACCCCTGGATTTATTCGTGATTTTCCCACTGTCTCATGTCCCCACTAGCATCTGGGGACAAAGGTAGTCTTCCCCACATCATGGACTTCTGGTTCCAGAATTCTGTGAATTATAATACTGCAAAACACCAACAGAACCATTTATAGCCCAGAGACCTTAATGATCTAGCTGTTAACCTTCCCTGTTTGAAAATAAGAGAATTCCAGATTCGAGGCCTAAGAAAAGAAAGAATGGTATCTAATTGAAGTGTCCATACCAAAGGACTAACTTTCAGTGAGATAAACTTACAATGAGGCCCTGCTGACACGTGAGTTAACTGGGGTCTACCTAGGAAGAAACTCAGCCCCGTTAAGTTCTGCTTTACAGAGGACAGGAAGGAGCCTACTCAGAAACCATGATAACCCAAGCTCTACTTTCAAAACAAACACGTTGTAACCAACTCAAATCTCTGGCAGGATGCTTTCCAATACCCCTTCTGCAGGTTCAACCCACTACATGCAAAGTATGGATTATTTTAAAATTACATTTTGGTTGCACAATTTTAAGGAGAGTTACCATGTGACCCAGCAATTTCACTCCTTGGCATATGACTAAGAAAAATGAAAACATATGTCCACACAAAAAAATTATACGTGAATGTTCACAGCAGCATTCTTCGTAATAACTAAAAGATGGAAGCAACCTAAATGTCCATCACGTGACAAACGGATAATTGATGAATGTGGTATGTCTATACAATAGATGATTATTTAGCCAGAAAAAAAGCAGCAGCACAGATACAACAGGGATGAAAACATTATGGTAAATGAAAGAAGTCAATCACAAAAGACCACATATATGATTCTATTCATATGAAATGTCCAGAATAGGTAAATACACAGACAGAAAGTAGAACAGCAGTTGCTTAGAGGTTATAAGGGATTAGAGGTGACAGGTGAATGGTATGGGGTTTCATTCTGAGTTCAAGACAATGTCCTAGAATTGATTGTGGTGATGGTTGCACAACTCTGAATATACTAGAAACCACTGGGTTGTACCTTTTAAGTGGGAGAATTGTAGGATATGTAAATTACATCTCCCTAGAGCTGTTAAAAAGAAAGTGAACTGGTGAAAGGATTGTTAAGTAGAGGGAACGGGTTCACACCTGGTCGCTTTGAAGTCAGTGCCCAGGCCCTGAACACTAGCCTGTGCTGCCTTCTAAAATACAGAGGCAGAGGACCACTCACCATTCACATGCCCAAACCTACACTTACCACTGATCTGACAAAGCAGTAGGACATGTGGGAGCATACATGATAACTGCCTTCAAGTGGCTTATAGTTTAAAAGCACTGACTGTCAGTAAAGCAAAGGCATAAACTACATGTCAATCATGATAATGCATAGTGTAGTGCATGCCTTTGCTCTTCTGACAATAATATAGAGTACAGGATATCGTTTATAATATAATAGAGACTATAACACATACTACATCATATCATACAATACAGATAATTCCAAGAGACGGTCTCAAGGGCTGGTCAGATTATATCCACGGAAACTAAGAGATTTCTATTAGAGGGAAAAACCAAACATGCCCCTTAAACGCTGATTAAAATTATTTATAGTCAAACAAAACACATTTAACTACCCCAGTAATACCCAAAGCAAAATGGGGTAAATGTTTATGACAATGTTAAATTTTTCCACTTTAATTAAAACACAGGCTTCATATGCTGGATCTGAGGCTTACTTCTAGAATGGGCTTTGCATTACACATATTTTATTTTATTTTATTTTTTTTTTTTTTGAGGCGGAGTCTCGCTCTGCCGCCCAGGTTGGAGTGCCGTGGCCGGATCTCAGCTCACTGCAAGCTCCGCCTCCTGGGTTCACGCCATTCTCCGGCCTCAGCCTCCCGGAGGCTGGGACTACAGGCGCCCGCCACCTCGCCCGGCTAGTTTTTTGTATTTTTAGTAGAGACGGGGTTTCACCGTGTTAGCCAGGATGGTCTCGATCTCCTGACCTCGTGATCCACCCATCTCGGCCTCCCAAAGTGCTGGGATTACAGGCTTGAGCCACCGCGCCCGGCCGCATTACACATATTTTATTGTGGAAACTATTTCTTTACTATCGCGGACTGAAATAAGCCTAAAGGTCACTAAGTTATTAACTTGGTATAGAGAATGAATGCTTCAGACTTCATTTTAAAGGGGTTCAGCTACTAAAGTCTGCAAAGGGTCTTCAGACAGGAAGGCAGGACTTTTTCCCAGGAACACTAGGATGAGACAGCCCTTCTTTCTAACACTAGGCCACTACCTCCCCCTTGTGGCCATAGCTAAACCCTCTGGGTCACAACCCTAGTTTCAAAGTCTCCTTTAGGAGCCTGTGAACAAATACCAGAGAGAAGCTATTACATTTAAAATATTGACAACCATCATTGTGAAGGGCATGGCCAGGCAAAGCTCTCCTAATAGCAACTTCTGTGAGAACTTCACTTGGTCACTTGGTTAACTCTTGATCAACAAGTAAATACTTGGTGTGTCAGGGACTTAAACACAAACCTTCGAAGCTGAACTTGAACAGAACTGGAGCTACTGTCTACCCTGAGAATTCAACGGGTGAACCTCAGAACAAAATGTTTTTAAACTAGGGGGGCCTGGGGCATGGTGTCTGATTATTAATTTAGACACTGCATTTAAATTTGGAAGATGAATGATAAGAATAAATTACTCTAGATATGTACAAAATAGCTAACCCTTGAAAACTGAACTTTCATCACAGAAAAGCGGAAAACACTTTTAGGGTCATCATTCAGTGTTAGAAAACCCAGTATCATTCCCTGCTTTGCTACAGGTAAAAATAGAAAGAACAGTCTTACTTTAAGGCAAACTCTAACTTCCCTTCAAACCTTGCAGCACAATCATTGTTTCATTCTCAGGTAAAATATTCAAACTAGAGCGGTCCTGAGAGTGGCTGATGGAATGAGTCAACACGGAGTAAGGTGCACAGGGAGAATGCTGAGTGTGAGACAAATCAGACAACTTTAATGAGGCTTAGCCTAATCAGGGCAATCAGGATCTAAAATACAAACAGCTGGAAGATCTTCATCTACTGCATTTTACATGGAAACCCAGGTAGCAGTACACTAGCATCAGCCTCTTATAACTTAGGGGAACTAAAATTTCAGGACGCTAGCATGGGAAAAGGCATTGGGGAACACTAAGGCTAGCAATAATATAGTCTGACATACCCTGAATGGAGTGACAATAGCTACCCAGAGTTCTGTGTGATAATGGGGCATGCAGACCAAGTCCGAACTCCCAAGGCCAACGTCCCAACACCAACGCCTGCCGAGGGCAGAGGACAAAGGGATTGTATGCTATGACTACTTCCCACCTTTGTACCTTGTTAAGTTTGCCATTTCTGGTTTTAGTCTGTCCTGCTCTGTTTACAAACGGAGAACTTGAGCCCAGAGAAATTAATAAAGTTAATATAAGGTCACAGAACCAGTCAGTGGCTGACTCAAGGTGAGTTACTGAGTCTATGACCCTGTATCTGTACTAACAAGTCTAGGCTGGGAGAAGAGAAGGCTCCTGTAAGGTTGCCAATCATTCAAAGAGGAAAATGTTAATTGTTTATTCTGAAGAAGTTTTGAAAGACCAGTTTTAGTTCCACAGCAACACTGTCTTAGAAACTTTCACAGAAACTATCCTGTGGTCAAAAACATTCTTCTCCCTTTGCTTTGCAAAAAGGAACCTGACATTTCCTGCTATAAATCAGTACATCAGAACTTATATCCTGAAACTTTATTAATTGTGGTTAAAAAAGAGAAAATGTGTGAGAGAACGATAGGAACTGGGTAAACCTGTCAATGCTCACTTCAGAAATGAAGTCTCCACTGTGGGAAGAGAAAGCTGAAAAATACTTTTCACTTAAATTCCTCCAGGCATCTTAAAGCTTAAAAGAACAAGCTGATAACGAGAAAATACAATGTAAAGGAAGAGCTATAGGTGCTTACCTGTTCTAATGTAAGTTGCTTAGAAATGGTGTCATTCTCCAGTTTTTTAATTTTCTTCATCAGTTTGTTGACCTGAAATTCCTGCTCTTGTTCAAGATGCTGTTCTAGTTCGGCTTTCTCATGTTGCAACTGGAAAATGAAAAACACACGGATGGGGAAATCCGGCAACTCAAATGCCATGGAAACACTGGCTCCAAAAGGTGTGTCTACAAAGAAGCTATACCATAAAAGTTACATTACCCATTTTTGCTCAAATTTGCAAGTGTATACCTAGTAATCTGTGCCTAACTGGTTTCTCTAACTTAAAACCAAAAGTCAGGCCGGGCGCGGTGGCTCAAGCCTGTAATCCTAGCACTTTGGGAGGCCGAGACGGGCGGATCACGAGGTCAGGAGATCGAGACCATCCTGGCTAACACAGTGAAACCCTGTCTCTACTAAAAATATAAAAAATTAGCCGGGCGAGGTGGCGGGCACCTGTAGTCCCAGCTACACGGGAGGCTGAGGCAGGAGAATGGCGTAAACCTGGGAGGCAGACCTTGCAGTGAGCTGAGATCGACAAAGCAAGACTCCGTCTCAAAAAAACAAAACAAAACAAAACAAAACAAAACAAAAAAACCAAAAGTCATAGGGGATGGAAATGAAATTTGTGTTTCGCAATATACTTTTTGCTACCTTTCAGATTTTACACTATAGGGCTACAAATAAATTTTTTTAAAAATAGAAATTTCATACAATTTTTATTAAATGAATTGCAGTTTATTCAGATTTGCATCATGTATGTAGACAGAGATGTCAAAATCACAGAATATACTTAGGTAAATTATCCAGAATGCTATTTCCTAGTGTACAAGGACATCTTCACAAAAATCAGCACAATTATTTTTCCATACAGAGACTGTACACCACAGTTCCTATATATTCCCTAAAAACCAAGAGGGAAAACATTGGCTAGGCATGGTGGCTCATACCTGTAATCCCAGCATTTTGGGAGGCCAAGACAGATGGACCACCTGAAGTCAGGACTTGAAGACCAGCCTGACCAACATAGTGAAACCCTGTCTCTACGAAAAGTATGAAAATCAGCTGGGCATGGTGGCAGGCACCTGTAATCCCAGGTACTTGGGAGACTGAGACAAGAGAATCACTTGATCAACCAAGGAGGTGGAGGTTGCAGTGAGCTGAGACCACGCCATTGCACTCCAGCTTGGGCAATGAGAGCAAAACTCTGTCTCAAAAAAAAAAAAAAAAAAAAAAAAAAGATTCTTATTCATGCAGTAAAAAGATAAGGGTATGGTGTCATTACAAGAGAGAATTTAAAAACAAAAACAAACCAAACTCCAACCTACAAAACCAAAGGAAAATAAAAGAAATCCAGTGGACCCACAGGGACTTGGGGAGGTTCTCATTAATAATCACTTATTATTTTTTATAACACTCTCAACTGGGGGGTTTTGTTGATGCACAGCAGGGGTTGGCCTGATGTTTCAGAATTAAGGGAAAAAAGTAAAAGCTACTAGAAACAATGAAGCACACAAAAGTTTTATTTTGGGGCTGAATAGGACACTGCTCCCTAATTTTATGTTCAAAGCCGTTTCTTTTGGCAGACACTGTACACCAGGTTCTTCACATGCATGGAGACAGGCACGGTCACTTCCATTTCATATGTGACAAACCACATTATTAGACTGAAGCAATACAGCTGGAAAGCGACGGAGCTTGGGACCCAGACCCCGCGCCCAGAACCCCAAACCACTGCTCTCTCCGGAGCACTGTATCACTGAGCAAACCCAAGAGAGGCCGCCTTCAGACTGCTCCGCCCATGAGTGCCTAGCGCACCCTGAGCACCTGGAAAGTCAAATGATTAAACACAGAAAAAAATACGCCACGTGTGCTTGCCCAAGGGATGCAATGTTTCTTTGGAAACCCTCCTTAGGGTACAGTGGACAACTGAGAGCTGAGGCAAGCCTGATCAACCTCAAAATGGCTGCAAGTAACACTCCCCACATTTGACAGTGTCCACTGCCCTGAAAACACATACTCAGTTTAAGAAAAAAAAAAAATTGTTTGGCCAGACGCAGGGGCTCACGCTTGTAATCCCAGCACTTTGGGAGGTCGAGGCAGGTGGACCGCATGAGACGAGGAGTTCAAGACCAGCCTGACCAACATGGTGAAACCCTGTCTCTACTAAAAATACAAAAAAATAAATAACTAAATAAAAATAAGCCTGGTGTACTGGCATGCACTTGTAGTCCCAGCCATGCATCTGTAGTCCCAGCCACTCAGGAGGCTGAGGCAGGAGAATCCCTTGAACCCAGGAGGCAGGGGTTGCAGGGAGGTGGAGCTTGCAGTGAGCTGAGATCACACCACTGCACTCCAGCCTCGGCGACAGAGCGAGACTCTGTCTCAAAAAAGGAAAAAAAAAAAAAAAAAGAAAAAGAAAAAAAAAAAGTTAATCTGACATAGCCTTCCAACATTGGAAATGTTGACTAAATAGATGCTGTTTTCCTTCCAACTGTTTTTGATGTTCAAGGCCAAAAAAAAGCTGGTCAACTTTGCAGGGACCCACGAGAAAAGCAGGTGTAAGGAGGTGCTTACAGTGATAAGTCTATATTTAGCCAGCTCTTTAAAACTCAGGTTCTGCAAGACCAAGCAGCAATTAAAACAACTAAGATGAATGAATAGAGAACAAGAAGAGTTCCCAGCACTTTTGACAAAAAAAGAACCCAATGGAACAAGCATCGCTTAGTAGGAAAAATATAGCAAAGCATGTACATCTGCGCCTAAGGCTTTCATTCAATAAGCATGCTGTGCTGTCTTCTATCTGTAGGTACTATGAGAGTGGTAGGCGAGATCTATAGCTAACATATCGTCCTTGCCCTAAAAATAGTTATGAACACTAAGCTTTAACAGTATCTACTAGTTATTGGGAGATGATAAACTTGTCTTCAAACCTTTAAACTATTTGCATAGCTTTTTAAATATAGTAGCTATGTTTTCCTCCAATGTTTTCAATTGCTGCCATTTTTATTTGAAAGAACCCTTCTTTTATTTTTCTCAGCATTATGCCTCTGCCCTGAGGTAAACTAAAATAATAAAGGATGCAATCTAACATTGAAAAATCTCTTGCCCACCAAGCAGCGTTTGTCACAGAATGTTAATCTAAGGTAAAGCTCTCATTGGCTTGCAGGAAAATATCCATATTTTGATAGATGGTCTAACACTGTCAGTAGCTTTAGGTACCTCCTTTAAGACTACAGATTGAACTAGTAATAAAGCCTATCAGAGCTCTCAATTTTAGGAGGCAATTTCCTCTCAAGGGCTATACCCTAAGGAAAATTTGATGGTAAAGCTGTCATTACTAGAACTCAAGTAAGGTCACTGGGTTACACTAACCCGTTTGGAAAATACCAAGGCATTCTGAGATCTAACTCTGTTTGCTAAAGACTCACAGTTTTTATCGTCCCCCAAAGACAGTGCTAAAACAAACAGTTCTGCTGCTTGCTTTGTTCTGTCACCTCTCAGGTGACATGCAACAGAAGCAGAGCATGGAGTTCCTGAACAAAGACAAGAAACAGAAAATATAGCTCTTCCTGGAACAAAGAAACTGCCGATAAAAAGAGAAACATGGCCAGGCACAGTGGCTCATGCCTGTAATCCCAGCACTTTTAGAGGCCGAAGCAAGAGGATTACTTGAGCACAGAGTTTGGGACCAGCCTAGGCAACATAGTGAGACTCTGTCTCTATAAAAAAAAGATTAGCTGGACATGGTGGTGCACACACCTGTAGTCCCAGCTACTCAGGAGACTGAGGGGAGAGGACTGCTGGAGCCCAGAAGGTCAAGGCTGCAGTGAGCGTGAGTACACCACTGCAATCCAGCCTGGGTGACAGACTGTGACCCCGTCAAAAAAAAAAAAAAAAAAAAAAAGAAAAGCTCAAGAGAAAAAAATTAGTACGTCGGTCCATTAGAAGCATGAGACAAGGGTTAAGATGAGCAAGAGGTAGGAGGCAAATGTGCATAGGGACCTTGAAGAACTAATAACTACAGAATTTGTTTCATATAGTTT